CATGAACAATACAGTCTCTACACAGGTTACTATTTGGGTACTGGAGCTCTCAGGTTTTAAAAGACATTCCTGAAAATCCACTTAGGGTACAGCCATATACATGCTTAGACAGAAAAAAATGGCCTGAAGCTCTCAGCTTTCCCCCACTATCAGTAAGAATTGTAAGACTTTTTAGGCAAACAGTATTTCAATATTCAAACAATATTTTAACAATGTTTAATATTTATAGGTTTTAATTGTGCAGCCAGGGGGTTTCCGGGTTTTAACTGTATTCGTATTTTATTTATTTATTCGTGTGAGCCGTCCCGAGGCTATATAGCAAGGGGACGGCATACAAAAAACTTTAAATAAAACAAACAAACAATAAATAGGCAACCAAAAGCTCCTTCCTCCCCAGATTAAAGATGAGTACAAACATTTCAGATTTCTGGGTGGGGGTGGGAGAGTTTCTGCCTCAGTGAGAGTTTCTTAGCAAGATATGCTCCCCTCCTTGGTTACACTTATGATTAACAGGTAGTGCAGAATCCTGTGTATTTTAAGGTTAACCTTTTCACAAGTTAAGATCAAATATCATTTGTATTTAGCTTTTAAGAACAAGCAAAGCCATGCCGGATCAGACCAATGGTCCATCTAATACAGTGCAATGTTCACCCAGTGGCCAACCGGCTGCCCACATAATTGCTCAAGCAGAATTCTGTTTTTATCTGGTTTTGAATTGCTAACTTTTATGAAGTTTTAATATGTTTTGTTATATTTTACATTGTTTTTAAATATCTTGTTGTGTACCATCCACAGAGCATTGGCTGTTGGATGGTAGAGAAATTAAACTAAATAAGAGAGTACAATCTTGGAAGTTTCATTTTCAGATCTTGTCCTAATCATACCTAACATAAAGATTGTTTTTTTCACAGCCGCTGTGCACCGGACTGACATTTCCATCAAGTTGTCTACCACAACCCCAAGCTCCCTTTCTCAATCCGTCCTTGCTAGCTCAGATCCCATCAGGCTATTCTTGAAATTGGGATTTTTTGCTTCAATTTGTTTACAGTTAACTGTCTTTGCCATTTTGATGCCCATTCTTCTGTGCTGGAGAGAACCTTTTGGAGCTCTTCCCAATCCCTTTTGATTTTAACCACCGTAACTACTTTGAGGCCACTTCACTGCTCCCTCCTAATTCCAGATAATTTCTTAATAGGTTGAAAGCAGGGGCCCCAGAACCCTGTGGCCTCCACTGTTTACATCCCTCCACTGGGAGAAATTACCATCTATTCACACTCTCTGCTTTCTATTGTTTAACCAGTCATTGTTCCCTAGGAAGAGCCTCCTATTCCATGACTGCTAAGTTTGCTCAGGAGACTTTGATGAAGGACTCTGAAGTCCAAGTAAACAATATCTCCCTGACAATGTTCATGTATTTATTGACATTCTCAAAGAACTCTGAGAAGTTGGTGTGATGGGACTTGGCTTTACACAAGCCACATCGATTCTTTTCCAGCAGGGTGTGTCCCTGTATATTCTTACTGATTCTGCCTTTAATAATACTTTCCAGCAATTTACCCAGGTCAAACATCACGCTAAATGGCCTGTAGTTTCCCAGATCGCCTTGGGTCCCTTTTTATAAATTGTTGTTACATTGGCCATTCTTCAGTCCTTCAGTAAAGAGGCTTATCTTAGGGACAGTTTACATATTTTTGTAAGAAGGACAGCAATTTCATAATTGAGCTCTGTTAGAACTCTAGCATGGGCACCATCTGGTTCTGGTAGTTTAGTAACTGTGTTTGTCAGTAAGATTAAGAATTTAATCTTTTGTTGCCACTACCTGTCTTAATTCTTTAGATTCCCTTCCTGAAAACATCAGTTCAGGAACAGGTGTCTAACCTGTAGTGAGGACAAATGAAAATAATTAATTAAGCTTCTCTGTAATCGCCCCATTCTCCTTTAATATGCTTGTAATTCTATGATGACCCAGTGCCTCTCAAGCTGGTTTCCTTCTTTTGATATATTAAAAGAATTCTTTATTTATGGCCTTCATGTTGTTAGAGATATGCTTCTCAATTTTTTAATTATTTTTTGGCAGCCTTTATCGTCCACTTGAGTCTTTCCTGCACACGTTTGTGCTCCCTTCTGTTTTCCTAATTTGGGCAAGACTTCCACTTTCTGAAGGAAGCCTTTTTCTCTCTGTCAGCTGTCTTGACAGGGCTTGTTAACCATGCCAGTGACATCTTGGACTTCATGCTAGCTTTCCAAACTTGTAGTATATATACTATCTAGCTCCTATTATTATGGTTTTGCATAATCTCCAAACATTTTGAAGAAATTAACCCTTGAACTACCTTTTAACCAGCTCCCTCATTTTAGAGAAATTTCCTCTTTTAAAATCAAATGTGACTGGGTTGGACCTCTTTGGCAATCTTCCACCCAGATGTACGTTAAATCCATTACTGCTGTGGTCACTGTTTTCAACTGATTCAACGGCATTTAGCTCTCATATTGGGGCCTGGGCAACACCACCCAAAATTAAATTCAGGGATGCCACCCCTCTAGTTGGTATCATGACCATCAGTCCTGAGGTACACTCATTTAGGACACTGAGGAATGCAAACTCTTTGTCAAAACTGGAGTATATATTTATCCAGTTGATGTGTGATAGTTGAGATCACCCATAATTACAGCACTACCTTATTCTGTGCTGTAGTTCCCTGATTTTATTCTCCATCTCCAGATCAGCTGAGCATTCCAGTCTGGAGAATCACAGCATATTCCTAAGACTACATTAATTTTGGAGCCCAGTGTGTCATCCACAGTGCTTCTGTTGGGTAGTCTGTGCCTTTTAGATTATCAAGTCCGCTGGAATCTATGCCCTCCAACACCTCCTCCAGTTTCCTATAGAATTTATATGCAACAATCAACATATCCCACTGGGTCTCTCCATTCCACCCAATTTTAGTAATGCCCACTATGTCCACCCTTTCCTTTAATACCAGGTACTCCAGGACTCCTATTCTGGCTCAGAGGCTTCTAATGTTTGCATAGGAACACCTAGACACAATGTCCTTCTCATGACTTAGGTTCTGGCACAGAGGCCTTTCAGAGTAGTTATCATATCTCACCATATGCTCATGGCTTACTTCCTCCCCTGCTACATTTGACCAATCAGATACTTTTTCTTCCTCATTCCCTAGGGATGATTTAACCCAAACCGGATGCTTCCTACCTCCTTTTTGGCTTTTTGTAAATATATCAACATAAGCATGTATTTTTAGCATTTATACTTATGTTTCGCTACCTTTAAAAGGGCAAAACTCTTTAAAGACAGTGTAGACAAGATACAAGACCTCAGCATATTCACACAGTTTCCTTATTTACTCCTACTTTATGGAGTTCAAGGGTACAGCTCCTGGCGCTGCAAAGCTTATAATCTAAACCTTGATGCCCAGAAAGGGGAGGGAAGCAGCAGCAGCAGCAGCAGTAAGCAGGGAAAGAATATAATATTGTTTCCATTGACACACTGAGGCGTGGTTTCAGGCTAGCTGCAGATGGGCATGGGAACACTTTCTTTCTTATTTTCAACAAATAGAGAGATGGTGTTCTGGCAGGTGCATCTTATAGGCCCAAGATGAGCTGTTTGATCGTAAGAGTCAGTTGCTCAGTATAGTAGAACCAGTGAGTTGATCAGAGGTGAGGGCCTGCCTTGCCATTCAGCAGAGTGAGGAAACCAGTCCAGGCAGTAGGTGACAGTGGAATCTCTCAGCCATCCCTCCTTGGCCCTCCCAGTCATTCAATTTTCTTGGACAACCTGTCCTGCACCTCCTAAGTAACCTGCTGCCTTCAGTGTGATGGAGGGCACGGTACTATCACCACGGTTCAATTCAATTGACAATCCAGTGGACTTTTGCGCCTGGAATGTACCTGTCCTTTGCCTCAGGTAGCAAATTGTCTTGGGCTGGCCAAGCCAGACATGGCAAATAATCATGGCTGACTGCACTCTGAAGCTGATGGCCCCTTCCCTAAATTGTGCCCTTTGGGTGTGAGCTGTTCCTATCAAGGCAGCTCCATGCATATAGCAAGCACTCCATCTGTTTAATCACCCTGTCATGCCAACTGGGATGAATAGAGTTCAAGAATGGTGATCAGGTCCAAGTTTATGGCTTCAGTGGAAGAGAGCAAATGGGCTACTTACTCATTGCTACACGGAAAAAAGGACATACATTTGTACAGGCAAATTTATAAAAGGTGCAAATTAAGGAAGGATTGCTATAATTTAAGAGGTAATAAAATACATTTCACCATGGTAGGGAGGACTAACTATGCGCACAATGCTGCATTTTGCTGGCTGGAACATAGCGGGAGTTGGAGAACTTTTTCCTGTCCTGCTTAAGCACTCATAGGATGGTGCTTTAAGTGAGCTACTTGTCTGCTCAATCTCCTGTTTGGGTGGTATCTCTTCAGTGGGATGTGGGATGGTGTGAACTCGTGTCCTGCAAAAGCAGGGAGTTGGACCCGATGGCCTTCATGGCCCCTTCCAACTCTACTAATTCTATGATTACAACTACAAGTTCTTCCTTCTGACTGTTCTTTACCTATAAACTGGGCTTAATGATGTATGTCTTTATTACATGTCTATACCGCCCAATAGTTTTTGCTGCAAAGCCATTCAGAGAGAAGCCACGATCCAAATGGCGACTCCCCCTTGCAAACAAAGGCCTGTGAAAGGACGCGCGTGGCCACTTCTTCTTTGTTGGGGGTGGAGTAGGCCGCGATTGTCCGAAGGACGGGTGCGGGGGGACACGAGGCTTGGTCACTATTCGGGTGGCAAGTCCAGTGCCGTGAACTGGAAAATCACTGGAAGCGGCGCGCTGCGTAGCAACATCGCGGAGCAAATCTGGGTCCGGCTCTGCACTGAGGCAGCCCTGCGACGGCGCCTTTAATTCTCCCGCCCCCGCCCCGCTCAATCTGAGCCGCCGCAGGCACATCCTGCCAGGCCAAACCCCACCTTCGCTGCGCTTGGAGGGCAGCGGTGGCGGAGCTCCAACTGCGGCGATGAGCAGCAGCCGGAGCCGGGCGTAGGGAGGTGCCCGCGCAAGGGAGCGAGAGCCCAGAAGCGGAACTCTGGCCTGGCAAAGTCGGCACAGCGAGTAAGTCCGCCGTTCTCCTACAATCCGCTTAAGCGCTCACCGCCAAGAGCTGCTAATTGCAGCACGCCCCTCCGCCCGCGCCCTGCCGCTTGCTTGCGGCGCTGCAGGGCCGCGGGACTCGGGCTGCGCCGGGCGCCCTGCCCCAACTCGGCCTCCCCTCATCGGGCCAGGTAAGCCGCGGCACGGGCAGCCTGAGGCTGCGAGCAGTGAGCAGCGGCGTGGGCTAGCCCCACTTCCACGCGGACGCCGCCTCCCGCGAGAAGCTGGGGAAATGAGACTGCGGTTGGGGGTCTCGCAGGCTTTAGCGCGGGGGGCTTTCCGCACTGTGGGAAGAAAGTTTGAATTTGCCAAAGTCCGGGGAGCCCTTTTCTTCCTCCCCGTTTCCCTTCCTCCCTGGTAGCCTTTTACAGTATTTTGAAGGAGAGATTTGAGGATCTGGAAAACTTGTCCCTTTTTGGTGGCCAGTAAAGCGACCTTCAGTTTAGAAATGTTCTTACGGTCAGCGCGGCTACTTCGCTTCCCTCCCCCTCGCTCTTGAAAGGGTGGCTCTGGAAACGCGCTCAGGTGTGCTGCGTGGGCCTGGGGCAGTTGTAGTGAAGTGGGCCTTGAATTCTCCCTTCATTTCTGGTGTGCAGGCTGGAAGCAGAGCTGGGTGGGTGCCCGGAGATGTGCAGAGGAGGGTCGGGCAGGGCCAACCAGGAACCTGCAGAAGCTGCCCTGGCCGGACAGTCTGAGAGCTGGAGGGGATTGCTTTAAGGGCAGCCCGCTTTATCCGAGGGCGCCCTAGGAATGACTGCCTTCTGCAGTGTGCTTGTGGGTGAAACATCAGGCTACAGGAACAAAAAGATCAAGGTTTTCTTTAATTTTTTTCTAACCTACTTTGGACCTGTGGTCTTTTATGTATTATTATGATTCTAAACCATTCTGGGACAGCAAGTCCTGGGAACATCCCCACCCCCCCCCCCCACACACACACACATACCCCTTTTTTGTTTTGCATAGGGGCAACCATTTTGTCTTTGCATGAAAGGGTTAACAAGGCCTTCCTTAATCTGAGGCCCTCTATCATTCCCAACTTCCATCATTCCCAGCCAGTATCATAGCCAATAGTCAGGGATTATGGGAGCAGTGGTCCAAAACATCTGGAGGCACCAGATTGGAGAAATCTGAGTTAACATGCAATGATTCTTGGTTTGTTTTATAAACGTACTTGTTTTTCCAGTGAAACCTTGTCTCCTTGGCCCAACTGCATGGAATATAGCAGTGGTCACTGTATACTTAACTCACAGCCATTGTTCTCCTGTATAAATAACCCAATAGACTTTGGAGGTGTTGGTGGAAAAAATTGCACTTGAACAATCTTGACATCTAAAACTGGCCACATTTTAGGGACTTAACAGAGCAGTGTTTGATGACTAATAGTTTCTCTTTCTGATGCTGGGCCTGATGCTATTTGTAAGTGTTCTGGTGGGTCTGAAGCAGCTTTCTCTAACCTGGTGCTCTCCAGATGTTTTGGTCTACAATTCCCACCATTCCCAGCAAGCATGAGGTGCCTTTGTGTGTCTACATGTATATTATCTCTTCCTACATTTTTTGTGGCAGTGTGGCACTTTCATTTTTCACACCTAGGAGGAAGCACATGTCTGTACTGGTAAGACAAACATAAACATGGCATTAAAATTGGGTTGTACTGGAGTTCTGCAAGAGTAAGCCAGCTTCTCCCTGCCTTGTCTGCACAAATGACAGATGTATGAGCTAGTTGATTCAGTTAGCACTCTTCTCCCCTCCCCACCATGTTTCAGGAAAGCCAGGATGCCATATGGTTAGAGCACTGGACTTCAGTTTGGGAAATCCAGGTTCGAGTCCCTACTTGGCCATGAAGCTCCCTGAATAACTTTTGGTTACTCACTGACTCTCAGCTTGACCTACCTTACAGTGCTTTTGGGAGGATAAAATGGAAAAGAGGATTCTGTAAAACATCTCGGGCTCCTTGCAGGAAACAAAGCTGGGCTGCACATTTGATAAACAATGTTTCAAAGGGGTTGATTACCTCCTAATTTTAGAGTGTCACAGGTATGTTTGTTTATTGTAGAGATTTATTTTCTTCATTTAGAACAAAATCAAAGATAGGATTGCAAGAACCACTCTGGGGATACAGGCGGGTGAGGATGGGAGATTGATTCAGAAAGTTGTCCGATGTTGTTACATACTCATTGAGCTAGATTTTCCTGAGCTCAACTCTGGAGAGAGAAGGACTTGAGTGGAATGGGGTGAGTGTGCTTCAGAGCAGCCCCCAGGCTTGGCACACACCTTGCACCCGCGCATGTGAGGGGAAGGGGGCATCAGCCTAAGGGCCATGCAGCTTTAGTTGGTAACCTTCATTGGGGTGAGTCCTGACTTGATCTGTCTGCTGCTATGGAGTCTGGTTGTCCTTCTGATTTAAAGGAAAGCCATGCTCTCGGAAGAACCTGCCTTGCAGTTTAGATCAGGCCTCTCCAGCCTTCCAGATGGCCCTGCTGGCTTAAGATACTGAAAGTTCTAGTCCATTGAAGAATGCTGGTTTATACACCAGAGGATGTGTTATTCCCCCCTTTTTAATGTTTTGCATAGATAAACCTAAGCAAACCAGCATCTGCCCATCCTATCAAATTTGTTCAGTCTCCAGCAATCAGATGACTTATCTTCTTGGCTTTTTTCTTTGTTCATTCTCTCAGGCAGGGGTGTGGATTGACTGAACCAAAAGTACAGAGATAGGTGTGCAGATGATAAATGGGGACCATAGGCAGACAGGGAGACTAGTGCTAGACACACAGTGATTTCTTTTTCTCTGCAACATAATTGCCTTTTAATACTCTGCCTTGGTTCAGATGATATTACAAGCCACTGTGGGTTAGTTAACCCTTGCAGTGCTGCAGCACATGGCACACTTGGGTGGGGGCAAGTGTTGTCTCAAGCTGTTAATACATGGGGTTTTCTTTACTGTTGGGAAAGGTTTAAAAACGTATGGGGAGGGGGAGTCAATTTTGCCTTTCTTATTCCCTCAAAGGAGAACTGGAGAGAATCTTGGAAGAACTTGAAAGCTAGCAAGCTTTGCAAGGGATGGTGATCTTGAACCAATAAACCAACATGGATTTTAGAAATTTTCTTATGGTCTGTGGATTTGTTTTTTCCCATCTCTCTCTGAAAGGTGGTTTCTGGGGAAAGTGTTCAGGTGTGCTGTATGGTGCAGGGAACAATCTGTCTGCAACTGGGCATTGTAGTCTCTCTCACCCTTAGTCTTTATGATTGGAAATGAGCCAGCAGCAGCTGGAAGGGCAATGTGGGTTTCTTGCAAAACTGTGAAATCTGGAGAGGATTTTTTTAAAGCCAGGCAGCAGACTATATTATGCAGGGATGCACTGGGAATCATTCTGCCTTCTGCAGTGAGATTGAGAGAGAAATGCCAGATCAGGAGACCAAAAAAAAAAAAAAAAAAATGGATGTGCAAGCCTCAGATTTTAATTTGGTGCTGGGGGTCATTTGAGGGTTAAACAGTCCTTGCAGAAGCTGTGGTCTGTTTTGGGTAATGCTAAAGTTTTAACTCTCAAACAAGCCCAACTCCTAGATTTGGATGAGAGGACAAGTCACAGCAACCCCCGCCAAGGACTGCACATTCTGAATGGCAGTCATTATGCACCACTACTTATCAGGGTTAATTTCATCCATGATGGGCTGTTGTGTCATATGAACTGACTCACAGTCTTGCTTGAGCTAGCCCAGGCCAGCCCAAGATAGTCAGCTGTCAGAAACAACAGACAAGACAGCTCCCTCCGGTTTCAGGTATAAAAACTGCACCCAAGGCAGCAGACTAGCTTAGGAGACCAAGAGCAGGTGTGCGTACCTGGTGCAGACCTCACTGTAGGTCCACCCCCACACACCTCAGCATTTGTCATCTGAGGCTGTCTTCCTGCTTTGCCTAATGGTAAGGCCTGCCCTGCTTTGAATACCACAAACAGACCTGCAGCTCTGCAGCTCAGAATTCTGCAGCCCAGCTCAACAGTTCTTAATAATTGAGATAATAATTGCTTGTTTTGCTTTAGCACAAGAGTCTTTAGTCTTCTGGAAAATGCAGGACTTGAACGTGGTGCCAGTGTTGCAGAGGAATAGTGCTTTGGGCTGCGGAGTTGCACAGAAGTTCTTTCCTTTGAGGAATCTAAATGAGCTGTTTTAGTGTGCATTTCAAACAGACAGGAAATGAAACTAGCACAGAAATGTTTCTGCAGAAATTAAATCATTGTGCTAGCTGTGTGTAATAACCCTTTTAAAAGCTGCATGGTCAAAATGTGTGTTGGTACAGCAGAGAGAAGCGGGCCCCCTTCCATTTGCAAATATTTAAAAGTTGATTAAACACTGGCAGAGTGCCTGGTTTAGGATGTGTGAGGTGGAGCTAAATGAGAAAACTAACGGAAAAGTGATTGTCAGTTAAATAAGCTAAATGGACATTTTAGAGCTAAGGAAGCAGCATGACTATTCTGGATATAATTTGCAGACTATGCACAGTTGATCTCTGTACAATCCACATGTGTGTTTTCCCTGTCACAGTTTTATTGTTGTTTCCTAATTACTGCTGGAGACTAAACCTTAGAAAAAGAGATGCAAATGTCATTTGGGATGGGATACTGTATTCTAAAAATGTCTCAGGGCTGAAGCTACCATTAAAGGATGGTTTTAATAGTAGCTTGAATTTAAAGTTTTTCATTCCCCCACCTCCAGAAGTTCTGTAATTCTTATTTAGTGGGGCAGCAGGCTACAAGCCTTTGAGGCCCTTGGTAGGCGGCTGTAAGTAGGAGTGACAGCTGTCAGCCGTAGCCCAGGAAAAGGAAGCATTGGGCACACCCAATTTCACCCCTCCCTGCAGTGCATTCACACATTTTGCACAAGTATTTGAAAGGAAATTGCTGTTCCTTTCCCCCTTCAGTAGCACTTTTAAAAACACAGCCTGCTGGGCTCTACTTATGAAT